GGGGGGAAAGGAAGTAGTTACTTCGCAGTTTTTACCTCTTTTATTCCATCTCAGTCCCAAGTTTTATTAAAAGGCGTGCACGAAAAAATAAGATTTCGTTAGTGTGCAGATTATGGGACGGGTGAACCCTTTAACAAACTAGCTAATCAAAATAAGCAAAATTTTCTAGATAATCAAAATGTTCCCGGAAAGAAAACATGTTTAAGCAAGTTCACCCCACTACCTCTAAATATCGCCCTGCTACATCTACAGGATAAAGGCAGTTTGCACCATAAAATATCACCTTACACATGACACCTGCGTACAATCCTGTTGGTCTATTATTTCATCACTGGTCTAATTCTGCAAAAAATGCGTGCCCTCATCGGTGCACGAGCGCACATCACTGTGCACTGCCATCGATGTGACCTTCAAGCCGTGTTACAACATAGTTTGAAGGCCGAACAAAGAGTGGTGCATGATGGTGTGCGCTTGAGGAGCGGTGAGAGTGTGAAATATTTATAATTCTTCCGGCTTGGGTCTTTTATTGCTTGAATTTCAAATGCATAATTTTTCTGAATAATAAAATAATTGTTTTTGAAAAAGCTGCAGTTTATAGTCTGTTCCTCCAGTTGTGAAACTGGAAACTTTTGCCTTTAACCAATGCTTTGTCGCAAGAATATCGTCGTACTACAGTGCCTTACGTTTTTTCGCTGTTACATGGCGGTTAGGGGGCTGTACTGATGATTCTCATCCCTAACCGCACTACGTACTGTCTGTGTTTACAGCTTAGGGAAAAAAATCTCGCGAAATACTGTTGATGGTTAAAATCTCACGAAGTACCATTGTTGGTTCCTCCCGAAAATACCACTTGGGAAAGTTTTAACCGTTCTGAGAAGCCGTTGGTGTGTGTTGAGCATCACTGGTTCCAAATGATGAAATACCCAGACCACGATAGGTCCCTTACCAACTTGGAGTTGTAATTTTTATGTGAAAATCAGAACGATTCAACAGTTTCTATATTTTTTTAGCGGCGTTTATGTGGAAGGTTTTTGTTTTCTTATTTGTTTGCTCCCTGGTTTTATCGGGATTTGTTATTGCTACGGTTGTGAGCAATTGTGTCAGCGATTCGCGATACTGGATGCCATCGTCCAGACCATTTTGCAAAGATCTCCACCAAATGCTGACAAAACATTCGGTAAGTTTTATTTTTTTTAACTTATTTCTTTCATTGTCACCACAGACTTTGGGCGATTACCGCCCCACCCTTGCATTTTCCTATTGCGTGCACGATTTGTGCGGTTCCTCTGTCTAATACCCTTCGCTATTGGACCACTGTTCCGGCCCCTTCTTCTCTTCACAGGACCTTTCAGACCCGTACTGCCTTTTTTATTGATTTATTATATTTCTAATATATTTCTTTGGTTTGGTGCTTTGATGAGTTGTTCTTTCACTGTTTCGTTGCTTCTCATCAGTGCAGTTGATATTTACTCTATTTTATTTTAAACCTGGCCTGTCCACTTTTCCCGCATGGATGATCGAAACAATCTCTTCTGCACATTGACGGCTTCGTCATTGTTCGCTGGGTACTACGTGGATGATATATCCAGTAATCCACTTTGTTCGTCTCTTCTTTCCCTGTTTCTCGTAAAAAACTCACTTCTAGCAGATATTGCCTTGGTAAAGTGGCTTGAGCCAGAACTGCACAACCTTACTGCCATATTTAGTGACCCAGTGCAGCATGATGCTCTCATCACTGCTTGTTTTTCA